GAAATGGAGGATGTGACAGAAAGGGCAAGTGAAACAGTAATTTCTTCAAAACCTAAAGGGGTCTCCAAAAATTCCAAAGCTCAAGAGGATGACATTGGCACTTCCAATGTAAATGAAGCCACAGATGTTGAAATCGAAAATTACGATGAGCCAAAGATTTCTAAAAGGATTACAAGGAATTTAAGGAATTCTACTGGGAAAGGTCAAGATAGTAGCAGAAAGGCATCAAGTGTCAGTAAAGTAGGAAAAAAAGCTCCTAAAAGGGTTACTAGAGGTTCAAAGAAAATTGGTAATGGTCGTGGACGAGTTCGAGGCCTCGATAGAGGCGTTTTAAACATGAATGAGTCATCAGATATTGAAGTAGAGGATGCAGTAGAGGAAAATGACAAGCAGAAAAATACCGCAAAACCTAAAAGAACTACTAAAAATTCAAGTAGTGCTCGTGGACGGCATAAAATTATTCCGGACGCCAATGCAACGTTAGATACTGTGACAGGGAATGCAGTGGAGAATGAGGGGGAGTCCACGACTCATTCAAAGCCTCAAATAACCAAAAATTCAAAGAATTCCAGTAGTCATGGACGAGGTCGAAATCGTAACAGAGACATTACATCAAATATTGACGTAGAGAATATGATAGGTAGTGAAATTGAGAAAAAAGTTTCTAAAAGGACTACCAGAAACACGAATGGCGCTCGTAGGCGAAATGAAATTCCAAATATGAGTGGCATGTCAAATATTGAAGTAGTGAACACAGAGAATGAAAGACCAGAAGTTTCATCGAAAGTGAAAAGAGTTTCCAGAAACTCCAAGAATGATCAAGGAGAAAACGAAGTTCCAAATGTGAATGAAACAACAAATATTGAAGTGGTGAATACAGAGAACGAAAGACCAGAAGTTTCATCGAAAGTGAAAAGAGTTACCAGAAGCTCCAAGAATGATCAAAGAGAAAACGAAGTTCCAAATGTTAATGAAACAACAAATATTGAAGTGGTGAATACAGAGAACGAAAGATCAGAAATTTCATCGAAAGTGAAAAGAGTTACTAGAAGCTCCAAGAATGATCAAGTAGAAAACGAAGTTCCAAATGTGAATGAAACAACAAATATTGAAGTTGATGATGCGGTAGAGGATGTGGAACCGGGGGCTTCATCAAAAGCTAAAAGAGTCAACAGAGGTTCAAAGAATTCTCGAAGAAAAAACGACACACATGAATCATCAAATGTTGAAGTAGACGATAAAGTAGAAAACGAAGGGTCAGGGGTTTCTTCGAAAAATAAAAAAATTACCAGAAGTTCGAAGAACGGTCGCAGACAAAATGAGAATTCAAATATTGAAGTAGGAAGTACAGCAGAGAATGAAAGGCCTAGTGTTTCATCGAAAGCGAGAAGAGTCAACAGAAGTTCAAAGAATGATCGAGGAAAAAGTTATAATTCAAATGTCAACGAAGTACCTAATTTCGAAGTAGAGAATACAGTAGAGAGCGAAGGGCCAGGTAGTTCATCGGAAGCAAAAAGAATTACCAAAAATTCAAAAATTGACACCAATATGAGCGAAGTACAAAATGCTGAAGAAGTGGAGAGTACGGTAGAGAACGAAGGGACAGGAATTTCTTCGAAAGCTAAAAGGATCACCAGAAATTCAAAAAATGGTCGAGAAAATGACCTTCCAAATATGGATGTTGAAGAGAGCGAAGGGTCAGAATTTTTATCGAAATCCAGAAGAATTACCAGAAGTTCAAAAGGTAGTCATAGAAAAAATGATGTGGAAGGTGCATCGGAAAATAAAAGGCCTGTTATTTCTTCAAAACCTAAAAGGACCACCAGACCAAGGGGTGACCACGGACGAAATGATACTACTCCCAATGCGGATGAAGTACCAAATTTAGAAGCGGAGGATACAGTCAAGAGAGATACAAGAAGTCCTAAGAATATCGATAATAATAGTGGACAAGGTCGAAACCGCGATAGTGACATTCCAAACACGAACGAAGCATCAGATGTTAAAATAGAAGATGCGACAGATATTGATAAGTCATCAAGTCCTAGGAGGATTACTAGACGTTCAAAGAGAGATGGAAATAATAACGACATTCCTGGTGTGAGTGAAGTGTCAGATATTGAAGTGACGAGCGTAGTGGATAATGATGACGAACCGACAATTTCTCCAAAATCCAATAAAAGAAACAGGAATACAAATAGCGGTCGTGGGCGAGGTCGAAATCGTGGTAAGGGAAATGTTCATAGCGGAGATTTCATAGGTGGTCGTACAAGGAGTCATAAAACAAAAGATGTTGCAAGTGAAAATGACGCAGAATTGGATGTTCACGTGCCAATAACAAACGAATCTGAACAAAAACCAGAAATTTCCGAAACTCCAGATAAGAAACTGAGAAAAGGCAAAAAAATCAAAAGTTCTCAAGATGCTAGCCCGCTTCAGGGTAAAGGAAAAACTCAAAATCTTGACCCAGAAGATGATAATGATGATGAACAACTTTCCTCATTAGTTCTCGATCCTGATGTAGTAGCATTGTCAGCAGAAAATCCAGATGCTCTTCAAAAGGCTGTTCGCGTATTAGCTGGACAAAATTATGACATACTGGAAACACCTAATGCTTCGGATGAGCCTCATCAAAATGACGAAAACCTTACATCACTATTTATCAGACCTGTAAACCCAGTTTCTCGATCAGCATCATTTGCAAATAGTCCTTTGCCTGAATCACAATCTGATAACTCATTTAGTCCCAATACACCATCAATTATTTGGACAAATGATCATTGGTATCAACTGAAAAGACTTTACGAAGAGATCAAAGATGAATACATTAAAGATGGCAAAAACGGTATTGGAAATGAAGAAGTCTATAGAGATGTAACTTTGCGATTCTTTTCAGTAGATGTTCAAAATAAAATCTTTGGAGAGTAAGCATTATTTTATTTTTGTTTATTAGGATGAATTTCTCGTTGTTCACCCTTTACCGCTATTTAAATAGGGATAATATCCGTAAACGGATAATAGCGTTAGAGGCAGCCGAACATGAAAGAAAATCAAGTGGTACTCCACGTAGAGGTAGCATTGAAAGCACTAATTCAAAAAGTAGTCGTATAAGCGTTACTCGGTATAACTCGGCATATTCGAATTTGCGTGACACTCCTATCAACAAACGTAAACGTAGTGAATCAAACGCGACCAACTCGGAGGTAAATAATTAAAAATACTGTGATGTTAGTCATATGTCAATTCAACATATTATAACATTATTTCTTTTAAAAGCTTGTCGAGGATGAAGAAATTTTACGTCCTACACAACGCTTACGTACCTCTGACTCACCGTCCGTCTCAGGTACAACTACTCCACGTATTCAACCCAACATTCTCAATAATGACAGTGCCTTTTCAAGAATATTTGGTGGATTGTTTGGAAGAAGTCGCAGTTCACATTCAGCTTCTGATTTAGGAGCACCGGAACAAATGAATATTGATTATGAAGATCAGGAATTACAATCCACTCCTTCTCCAAGTCGAAGCCGAAGTTGGCTATGGCGTTAAATTCTGAACCCATCAGTTAAATCAATTATCCCGCTCGTATTGTGGCAAGGAACGTTGGTTAATGGATTTTATAAATCGAATGTTATAGTGCACCAATTAACAATTTTGGTATTGAATTACATTTGTAATTTATTGTCATATTGAATGTATAAAAACGCGATCACGTTATCCATACTTTACATTCTTCTTATTGTAAACAATCTTTATCACCACGTGCATATTTTTCTTTCTTCTGATATTTTCTTACATTAAGACTTCTTTTCTGTGTATATAATTTTTTTTTTCTATCATAACCAGCTCTTATTAAAAATTAGATATTTTGTTGGGTAGGATAATATACGCATTGAACCTTATTTTGTGCTAATTATTTTTTTCTTATAAAAATTAAGCTTGATATGGAAGTTAAAGCTTAAAGAGACGTCAATTTATATTAATTTCTTTATTTTCAGAAAACTCAAGGTCTTAAAAATAATATATATATAAGTTTGTTAGAATACAATTATATAATAAAAAAATAGTAATTAAAATATTTATTAAAAAAAAAAAGAAAAACATTCAAATCATAAAAATGGCTACGGTTGAGAAACATTAACGTAAAGTTCCAAAAATGAAAATTTTCAAAAACTCGAAAAAAAACTTTTGTTTTAAAGTAATCAAATCTTTTATCTTTCTTTTCTAATATTTTTTTTAAAAAAAAAATGAGTATCAATTATATATTAAATTATTTAAATTCTGCATCTTTTTAGACATTAACAGGATTTATGTTAATTTAATTATATTTAATAAATTGAATAAATTTCAAATTTTGGATAAAAAAAAACAAAACACAATATATTTAATATATATTTCATTAAATTTTATATAACTTGAATTAAGTTTTGTTTATTAAAATAAAAATCAATATAATAATTATAATAATAAAAGTTTATTAAACTATGTTATATTCTATATTCTATTTTAGGTATTAGAATTCTGTTAATAATATATTTCATGTGCTTTTCTGTTATTAACTTTTTTTTCAAATTTGATAAAATTCCTTGAACTTCTTGTTGTATTCTATTAATAGTGTCTTTTATTTGATCTTTGTTATCTAACCATATGTCTAAAAATCTTACATAACTTCTGTAGTCCAGTTTCTTGACTTCTTCTTATTTGATTTTTAAGTGAATTATATTTGAATCTTTATTGTTGCTATTAATTATAATAAGAACAATTTGTTACTATTAATTTAGAAGTCATTTGTTATATAAAACCATTTGGCTCTTTCAAGAATTTGGTTTATATCTTTTTGAGATCTAGCTACTTGCCTAAAGAATAAGTTTTCTATTGAGCTTGGATTACTTGATAACTTGCTGAGATCTAGTGTCTAATAATAATTTATTGAATAATTCAGTATTTCGTTTTTTTGAATTTCATATAATAAGAGATTATAAAAGATTTTCCAAAGGAATAATAAAATCATTTCTTTTTAATTTATATTATTTTCTGTCATTACTTCCTTGATAAGTTCTATATCTGTAATAACCTTAATTTTTCTTTGCTTAAAGAAATTCAAGATAAGCCTAATAAATAATCTTTTCTGATATCTTAATTCTTTGAAATACTTGTTTTAGCATTTATAGACTAGCTATGTTATATGCTTTGGCAGTATCTTATAATAGAATTCATAATTCTTTTTTCTCTTTATAAGCTTTCTTATAAATATTGTTAAGCAATTGGATTGGTTTAGAAGTATTTTTCCTTAGGAGACTTGCAAAGTTGGGATCTTTGAATATATTGTGTTTTTTGTATACTAATACTAACCAATTATTGAGGATTTTGATAAAACACTTTTATGTTGTTTCAAGTAAGATTATTGATCTGATATTATTGAATTTTCCTTGCCATTCTTTTCCTTTGGAAATCAGATATAGAAGGCTATTCTTTCAAAATACTAGCATGTGTTTCTATTTAAGAAATAAATTGAAAAAATTATATAGAACTTTTTTGATTTGAAGTTTTAGTCTTTTAAATATTTCATATTTGATTTTGGAGGAACCTGCTGCTTTGTCTTTTAATAGGTCTTGGAAAACTTCTTTCAGCTCTTCTGGTTGGATTTTTTCTTCCAGCTTCTCATATCAACTGTCTTGTATTTTATCTTTGAATTTATATTGCTTTTTCTATTGATCATCTAACTTGTTATAGTTGTTATTGTATTTTTAAAATACTTCTTGATGTATTGCTCTGTTTAACTTAGAATTTCTTTTTCTTTAATTGTAAGATATTCTTATTCTTTTTTATCTACTATATTGATTTTGTCAATTGTTATTTTCTTTCTAAAATTATTTGTTAATATTTGTATAATTCTTTTCTGATTATCCTTAAGGTTCTGATATCTGGTTTCAATTACCTTTAGAATTTCTTGATTAATTCTCTTTCTTTTTTTCACTAGATATATTTTTTGCACTGTTAATTTTAAAGTGTATATTAGGGCTCCTAATGATACCACTTCAATACCACTTCGATACCAGTTCGATACTTAAATTTACTATAAAAACATATGAGTAGATCACAACCCATATATTAAATTTACTATAGATCAGTACCATTTCGATACCAGTTCGATACCAGTATGGTACTTTTTCGGAACCCTAGTGTATATATATATATTCTTTGATCTGTGATAGGACTAGGTTCTAGTTTTCTATGATTTGTAGTAGTTTATCTACTAGAGGCTGGAAGTTAGTTAAGAGAATTCTGATAATCTTTAGTAAGAGATCTTTGAGTTGTTATGATAATGTAAAGAATTCTATTGCTATAAGATCTTCTAAACCTTCTTCTATAGTTTGTAAAGCTGTTTGTATAGTTTAATCAAGTCTTTTTCTTTGCTGTTTTGTGTTCTGTTCTAGTGTTTTTGAGTTTTTCTAATAGTTTTTTTTTTACTATAAAGGTTATTGAATGCTAATAAGATTATCATTCTTTCAAATTTGTTTCACAAGTGTTGTTTAATTATCTGAATCCAGTACCTTGTTATATAGGCTTGCTATTTTCTTATAGAATTTGTTGTTTTGTATCTTATCTTTTATCTTGCCTCTGAATCTTGTTCATTATTCTTTCAATATTTTCATTAGGTTTATTGTTTTCTCTTGATATCTTTTAGTTATTCTTTGCTACTTTGTAGTTATATAAATAAGAAATTCATTGATTACTTGAAGTTCTAGAAGAGTGTGGTTACTGCTTGTAATCTTTTTAAAGTTTTTGTTTTTGAAGCTGGTCAAGCGGTTGACTATAGCTAATAAGCTTCAGATATAGTTTATTCTGCTTGAACTTTTATTGTTTGATCATATATGTATGTTTTTCTTGCTACCTCAAAGTTTGTTAAAGATCTATGAAATTTTAATTAGTAAGATGACTAAATATTTGCATTTTTGATTCTTCTGCTAAAGTAAAGGTTTTACTGGAGCCTATATTTCTTTGATAATATCTGAAGTGGAAAGTAGTATTAAAATCATTTATTAGAATAATTTGATATTATTAATAGATTTTGCTTTGGACAAGTATTTAAATCTTTTTTTAGATGGTTAGGCTTTTTTGTTTGTTGCAAGGAAGATATATTTATGCTATTCATGTTTTACACTTTTTGCTCCAAAGATTGATAGCTATTGGATGACCTTCTAATTTATTTATACAAATAATATTTTGTTTCAGGCCTTTATAGATTAATAGAAGAACTTCTATTCCTATAGGATTTAGTAGACATAAGCTTGGAAAGCATTTATATTTGTCTTTGTTATTTTGAAATATGAACTGTTAGTTGATTTGGATGAGTTTGGTCTCACTAAGTTCTAATATGTCTATTTAATTTTCTCAAATTTCTTGAATTAAGATTTCTTGGTTTGTTTCATATGTGATTCCCTAATGTTATAAGCTTTTATTCATATTGAGTTGTTGTTAGAGTCGTGCATATGTTCTTTTATATTGGTATTGTTAGGATTTAAGTTTGAATTATTTAGAAAAAGTTTTTTTTGTTTGTAAAAAAATATGAAAATATCAGTATTTAATTGTTGATTATATAATTTTAAGAAGTATTCTAAATTGAAGATGTTTAGGGTATAAATTGATACAAGACTTGTTATTGGAGATTCTATTTATTATAGGTTTTTTGATAATTTATTTTCTCCAATATTGCTTTGTTGCAGGACTAATGTGACTTTTTAAGAGAAATAATGAAGTTTTCTACTATTTTTGTTTCTTTTGTCTTCTAATCTTGTTAATCTGACACTGATAGATTCTAACATTATATAAATTGTATTTTAAGAAGTTTGCTTTTCAAGTATATTGTATTTGTCTACTGTTAATTTAACTATATATTAATTCTTTTTTTCCTTTTTGTTTGAGTTTCTTGAATTGTTTTTAATTTTTTTGCTTTTGAAAGTTATAAAGGAGCTTATATCTTTATAATGATCTGAATGGTTTTTTTTTCTTATTATATAATTTTGTATTTGGGCTTTTGACTTTTTGTTAATGCCATTATATGTTTTTGTATTGTCTTTGATACTTTATCAGATTTTACTTCCAAACAGTTCCAAATGTAATAATAGGACTTTATTTAAATTATTTTGGTTTTCAAAATCTATAATAACAAAGTTTCTTCTTTTGCTGGTTTTGCTTAACTAACTTTATTTTTTATTTTTATTTTTATTTTTTAATTTCACAATTAAGCTAATGTTATTTATTTATTTAATCAATAACTAAATCATTACAAGTATAAAAATATTTATAAAGTAAAAATTTCCTTGACCTAGCTTACTTGTCAATAGCTGAAATCTCTAGATATAATTTATAAAGGTAAAATATTGTTTCCTTGTTGAAAAGGATTAAGATTCCAGTACTTCAATATAATCATAACCTGCAGATTACCTCTATAGTTATAACCATAAACTTAAATTGTGTTACCCTTTCTTATAAAAACTATGTAAGAGGAAAAGAAAATAAAAAAAAAATAGGAAAGAAAAAACAGT